AGTTAATGTAGATAAAAGAAAAAATGTATAGTTTAAACCTAAGTACCTACATTCTCTCTTTCCTTCAAATTTGAGAAAATTATATAAGAAATAGTTACTGACACTGATAAAAGGGAAAACAAATCAAGGAAATTATTAAGGTTTATTAAAAGGGACTTTAACAATTGAGGCTAGTTAAAAGGGACTTTGAAGGCTGGCACAGTGGTTTGTGTTTGTAGTCTCAGCTACTCAGGAGGCTGAGTGAGCTACTCAGCAGGAACACTGTTTGAGCCCAGGAGTTCAGGGCCAACCTATGCGAGCGAGAGAGAGAGAGAGAGAGAGAGAGAGAGAGAGAGAGAGAGAGAGAGAGAGACCCCTCCACCTCTTAAAAAAAATAAATAAAAGGCACTTGAAAGACAAGTTGGAAGCAGTTGATATTTTATAGGTTTGGGTGGAAAATTGTGAGTGCATCATTTCTTGAAGTATATATCAGCAAAATAATACAAAGGGAGAAGAAATAACAGAAATAACACAAGTCAGACAAAAAAACATAAGACTATTTTATAGGGAGATAACATTATTTAGAAAGACAAAAAAGCTGGGGAAACATTGAGTGGGCAGTATGATTCAGAGTGCAAATACTTAAGAGGGTAGAGGGTAGTTAATAGAAATAAGATGACTTAAAGTAATATATTTGGAAAAGAGTGCATGGGTGGAGGAGATCTTGGGAGAGGTTGTCAAAATAGTGAGAAGGTGCTGACAGGTTGCAGAACATCAGTATTCTTTCAACTTTCAGGAATGGGGAGATCCATAAGCATGGAGGGAGTTTAATTACCAAGTAATAAGATTTTAGCAAAGAGTGAACTGAGAATGCAGCACTCTTTATGGCAATAACACCAGGAGGAGACAAGCAGAGAGAGAAAGCTGTATTCAAGTGAAGTCAATTCTCATTGGAAGATGAGCACCATGTGAGTGTCATCTTGAAATAAGGTCTAGGGGGGACTCTGGGAGGTTAGAGGCAGGAAATGGATGCCGAAATGAGAAAAAGGACTGGAATTTTGTACAAAATGGTGCAAGTGAGACTGGCAGGCTGGCGAGCATCTACAAACCAGCAATGCTTTCTCCTAAGGGACTACCTCAGCCCCAGTATACTCAGTGGGTGTATCTCTGCAAGCCTCATCACTTTAATCAGAGGTATCCCTTCTGGAAGAACTGAGAGCCAAAGAACAGTGAAACTCACTCCTCTGCAGGCTGACAAAGCTGTAGAGCAATAGCCAAGGCTGCTCAGAGGACAAGGTTGCATAGGATCAGTTTAATAGCTGGCAGCAAGCCTACAGCAAAAGAGCCAAAGGGTCAAGTTAGACAAGATGCTGTGGGAAGCACTGGGGTATGCTAATTGTGGTCTAGCAAATGGATAAAGAAAATTAAAATGAAAACGACTCCTAGTACAAGGAGAAGGTTCAGGAAGTGAAGAATGCATCTACAATGGCCAAACCGTATGCAAAAAACAAAACTCTGACCCACACCCAGAAGCAACTTGCCTAGTAAACCAACTCCTTATCTCTGTTCACCAGCCTGGAAGTCAGCCTGCTGGATGTCAGACTTGCAGACAGTCAGTTCACTATCTCAGGTAACAATCAAGGGAGCTAAACAGTAATTTCTATGACAAAAGAATCAAAATGTCAGGAACTTGATTACTAATTACTATTTCCTAATTTTTATGCCTACTTCCAACCAAAAGAAACCTAAACCAAATATGCTTTTCCGAACCAATAACACAAAACGCTCTACCTCCAGCTGGACACTTTCAGCTTTCCCATATAAACAGCCTCCTATCAGAGCATTTTTGTCCCTTCTTCCCTCTAGGAATTTTGCCTGCCTTTGAGTCTCTGCAAAACACAACTGATGGTGACTGAATCCTTTGCGACAGCAAGCTCTAAATAAATACCCTCTGTTTTCATGTAGTTGGTTTTTCTTGTATATTTCTACAGAACCAAAAAATAAAATCAAGATAAAGATTCAGGGTACGTGGGAAACTGCAAAGAAGGAGATGTTAGTTGGGAATATAGGAGAAGGATTTCTGGACTCTTTGGAAGAAATGGGGAGAAACTTAACATTACTATATTGTTTGTTGTATCACCTAATGCTTTGCTATGGCTTCCTAAAGTTCACTGAATTCCCCTAAACCTTGTGAAACAGATTTTTTTAAAAAATATCATTTTTAAGGAAAATTTAAATAGCCTTCGTAACCCATCCAAGGTGGAACAGAGAAATAAATCCAAGGATGAGTTTATTGTTTTCACTATTCAAGACATTCTCACAGACCTCTTCTTACATTGCTGTTGTAGTTTTTAACAGGCACATTACCTGACAGTCTCATTAACCGTATTGTGACTCTTCGTTCAGTCTTTTGGTGCTCTGCAAATAGGTGATGAATGAAATAATTCAATTAATATCTTGCTCAAGTTCACAGAGATAGAAAGTGGGTACATGCAGATTTGAATTTGGATCTTTCTGATTTCCAAGTTCCTATCGTTTACTGTATTAGCCTAACTTGGAAGTGGAGGTTTGCTGGCAGGTGGGTGCAAAGTCGAGGTGGACATTACATTTATTGATTTAAGGTGGTTAAAAATGATAATGTTAGGGTATTGGGTGGTATATGTTCAAGTTACTAAGGATGTTGGTGAGGGATGGGACTGACAGTTGGGAGGTCTGTTAGACACAAAAGAAGATAAGAAAAAGTCCTGAAATTTGGAAGATGATATTGCCTAAGATGATAAAGTGGGGATGAACACTGTAAAAGAATTCTTTTTCATCAAATTAAAATGAGAATGACCCAGAAAAAATGATGCAACAATGATGTGGTAAGCAGATTTGGGGTATAAGAAATTATAGATACCCTACCTCCTAATCCTATGCATTGGAAAGGGGAAGAAAAGCAGAAGTCTCTAAGGGAGGAAGTTAGGAGGGCACAAGATTTCATCTACAGTGTAAACACTGTAGCACTGAAGCACTTACTAAAATGACTTAAAATGCAGAACCATAATAGAGGACACAGAAAAGAGAATGTAGAAGGCAAAACATATTTAAAAATAGGTGGCTCCAAAAAACTGGCTGTACACAGGGGTGACATGTAGTAACTATGATAGTGATTTCAACTACTCCTAGGAAACGAAGCAGGAGGATGGTTGGAATTAGACTAATATTTCTGGACGGAGGGAGATGCAGCATTGAATCATCAGAATTTAGTTGTTGATATAAGATATAAACAAACCCAAATTCCAGTTGCATGAATTAAAAGTAAAAATTCAAACGAGCAATACTCTCCCCAAAGTGAAAAGAAATAGAATTCTCAGGCTCTCTGCTTTTTATTGTAACCTACTAATACATGGGAATGAGGGTTGAAAAACTCCTAGATATTTTGTCTGAAAGAAGGTTTTATGGTTTAACCTCAATAAAATTGCTTTCTAGGTGCTAGAGTTTGCATTTAAAAAACCCAGAAGTCTTCATTATAAGGTGAGGTAAGAGAGAGAGAGAGGCCGAATGTTTCTACTCAATAAATATGAGTCATTGGCCCTTTGACTATGGATTGTTTATATTTGACATGTAATAAGTAGCATTAGCAGAAGATGACAGCAATCTGCTGTTTTTCCATTATTTTCCTTATAATAATAACAATACATTTTTTTTTCTCTTAAATTCAGTCTGGGAGATAAATGCATTTATGGAACACATTTCTAACATGAAGGAATAAAATCCAAAATGCATGCTGATTTCTTTCTTGTATGCTTTGTTCTGTGTATAATACTTGTTGCCTGGTAACTAGATTATAACAGATCATAGGTTGAAAAAAAAAAAGTCAATTGTTTCATCAGGACATTTTCTATGCCAGAATACTTAACCTCAAGGCAAAATATCCAGGATAAAAACTCACCTACGCATTATCAAGTTGCTGTTGATTTTGAGCTAGAAAAGATGGGCACTTAGACTCATGCTTTCCACAGGGAAAAATCATAATTTACATTCATTATAAGCTCTAATTCATAATTACTGTCATTTTGTGGCCTCAGTTCAAATTTGCAGCAAGACATATTTAAAAATAGAGCTCTTATCTATCTACCTCTTCTTGGTATTTTTTTCTACATCCTCCTCTATCCTAAAACAAAACAAGTAGCAGTCCAAAGAGGAGTTGAAAGAGGAGATCCATGGGCCTGAAACTGGGCCATTGGTGGTTCTACCAGTCAGAAATGACCCCAGGGAAATGCTATTTAATATAACTAAAGAGACACAATAAGTCATGTGTCACTTAAGGATGGGGATACATTCTGAGGAATGTGCCCATTGGGCATTCTGTGACTGTATGAAAACCATAGAGTGTACTTATATGGCTGCAATGCCAACAGGCAATATAATCTCATGGGGCCACTGCTTTATAGGTTGGTCCGTCCTTGACTAAAGAAACATCATTACGCAATGCATGCTGTACACAAATGGAAAGCTGCTGGCAAAGCTGTTGTAATTTCTAGATTAAAAACAAAGTATGCTAAATTGGAGCAGACCAAGGAGGCCCCTGTCTTCTTGTAGACAATGCTTATTTGTTCCCTAACTTGAGTTGGGAATTTTTCTGAGATGTGCATGTTATCATCCATTTGAACAACCAGCATAGTGTTTTTTGTCCACTGGGACACTCATTTTTTTTTTTTTTTTTTTTGCCAGTCTCATTGGGGAACAAACCAAAACTTTACACAATGATGTCTCCAGGTATGCAGACAGTTACAACATTTGATTTTGTTGACCATTACTCTGTATAGGATATGACCAAACTAAAAAGTTAATAAAATCATTGCTGCTATTTATTGCCTTGCTCTAAAAGCAAGATCCTCCATAAGGCATGTCATATTTCAGTTTAACCCAAGGGGAAGTTAGATGATTACTTGTGTTTATGATACTTTTCTTTTTACCGCCCAAGGTCCTCCTTGACTCTCTCGCCCACTCCCTAAAAGAGAATTTTTGTTTGTTACCTCTTACCGACATTTATTTTGACAATTTTTTTCTGAGAGTCCATCTTCATCCTCTCCCATGATGTCCACGGCTGAAAATATCAATGCAACTAGAATGGCAAAGCAGCAGACCAGGGCAAAGATCACAATGCACTTCTGCTGGGACTGCAAGAGAAAGAGAGGAAAAATGTAAGTGGGCCGCCTGCCATCCCTTAGGAAACTTAAGATCTGACAGCTTTCCAAATTCCATGGAATATCCTTTGAGACATCATTACTGTTAGCATTGCGAGTGAAGGGCAGCTCTCTGGGTGAAAGTACCCAAGACCTTTAAACTCCACTAAATGGTTAGAACTTGTTCAATAATTCAAGTGCAGTATCCACACTTTTGAGTGAGTTTGCTCTTCTTTCTAATCAAAAGCAGTCCAGAAAAGATCGCTATAAGGTCTATTGTTGCAAATTAAAAATAAAACACAGATGCTAGCTAGTCTCATGGTTTATGCAGCTGACACAGTATATTTCAAAACACTGAACACAGGCATAAACAACATTCATACTCTTGATTTTCATTTAGAGATACAAGATGAAGTTCCAGATAGTCAAAGCCACTCATATGCATATGTTTAGGCCCAAGTAAGACATCCTTCCCTCCAGGGACTCAGGGCAGAAGTCAGGGCCATGATTATTGGGTAGCACCTGTGACACTGAGACAAATAATTTTGACTACTTTTTCTCTACTATGGTCTGAGTGCTTGTGTTACTACTCCCTAAGTTCCTATGTTAAAATCTTAACCCCCAAAGCAACTGGCATTAGGAGGTCAGGTCTTTTGGAAGGTTATTAGACTTTGAGTATAGAGCTCTTACAAAGGGGATTGGTGGCCTTAAAAGAAGCCCCAGAGAACTCCTTCACCCTATCCACCATGTGAGGATGAAGGAAAAAGGTGCGCTCTAGGAAGTGAGTCCTCACCAGGAACTGAATTTGAGTCTCCTTAACCTTGAACTTTTTAATCTCCAGAACTGTGAGAAATAAATTTTCTTATTGATAAGCCTTCCACTTTATGGCATTTTGTTATAGCAGCCCAAATGACAAAGTCACCCTCAATTAGATAAATCCAAATAGGGAAAAGAGAAGAAAAGGCAATTTTTAAATATCTATGTGATCTTAAGGGTTATTTACAAAGAGTAGTGATCTTCAACCAGGCAGCGCAGACAGGGATGTCATCTTAGCCAAAGAATAAATATAAATGTACAAAAGACTCTTTTTCTGTTTCTATCTATCCCTCCCCACCCCGCCACCATCTCTCTCTCTCCCTCTCCCTCTCCCTCTCTCTCTGACACACACACACACACACACACACACACACACACACACACACACACTCCCTCTCCCTCTCTCTCTATTCAAAGGGTTGTTGAAACCTGCTGACTTTGCCACTCCTATCACGCTCCTGACCAGTATTGCTATAGCCAAATGATTTCTAGGGAATCCAAAGAACCTCCCAAACTCAGAGTCCAATTCTTCCAAGACTCAACCTCACAGGGCACATTACAGAGAAAGGCATTTGAGTCACGAATCCACAATGTTTCCCAAAGACTTCCTTTAGGTGTTTTCTAACCCTCCCTTGGGTCTTGTCTCCCATTAGGACCTTGTTCCACATTGTGTTCTCTTCACATTCCACACTAAAAAATGAAGCAGGTAAAAGCCAAAGGAAGACACCACCACTGTTGTTTTACCCAAGACCTTGGTTATCTTTAAGTCCTGGATCATGGTTTGTTCTATCCCTAAATAATCAGCATAGAGCCTAACAAATAAAAGGTGCTCTAGAAATAGTTATTGTATAAACCAACAAAAGGGGAATGAATGAAATGAAAACAACAGTGGCACACCTCTGGGAATAGAGGCATATGAAATGTATCTTTCAAGACTCAACTGTGACCTGATTGAAAACTGGATTGTTTCCATAGTGGAAACCAAAGAGGTGGTTATAAATCTTATAGTTCATCCTCTGCTAGAGCTGGAGGCAAATTAGTGCACACGGTTAGCAACTATATAAAAGTCTGCAGAACAGATTGTGCATTTATCTTGTCCTTTTATTTTCCATCCATTTCCTATTCCTTGTTAATATTATTTTATTATTATTATTATTTTTGTGGTGCTGGGTATCAAACTGACAGTCACCCTCAGGCTGGACAAGCAAGCACTTTACTGCTGAGCTAACCCATTGATTTTATCTCTAAGAAGCACCTTGGTGAACCAGTTGAGGGCTCCAACTTTGGAATCAGAGTGTTAACATTCTGCCACTTCCTGTTTGCACGCTTTGGGCAAAATATTTGCCTTTGTACTTCAGATTTCCTGTCTGTAAAATAGGGATAGCAAAAATAACTACTTTATAAGGTTGTAGATATATGTATGGACAGGTAGTGTATACAGTGTGGACACAATGGCCAAAGAGATGATTCATGTCCCAGGTGAGACACAGCAGGATGGTTTGAGATTTTCACCACACTAATCAGAATGGCATGCAATCAAAAATGAAAAATTATTTCCAAAATTTTTCTTGTGATTTTTTTTTTGGTAGGTGACTATAGGTTACTGAAATTGCAGAAAAATAATGTAGATAAAGGGGACTACTATATTAACTATACTAAACCCTGCATAGTACATGTTCATATTGGACTCATTTGCCTTTAGTAGTTCATTTTCAAACATTACTGAGATCATGACAAATACATCCTAATGATTTAAATATAAATATTGTCATGCATTTTCTTTTTTGGGGATTTAAAAACAATTTTAAACAATACATATTCTTATTTTGAAAATGTTTCCTCCTGGCCTTTACTTTTTATATATTTTATTGATATTCACTATTTGTAAAACTGAAAAAATATAACCTGTTTATAATTTTGAAAAAAAAAACACAAAATGTTAAAAAGAAAATAAATCACAATTTTACCCAAACATATTGCAATTTATTTTGAGTTATTCTATACTACATTTACTTACCTAACAATCTGATCAAATTTACCCTATACAGGGTTTTATATTTTATTTTTGTCACTTGATCCCATTTTAATGTCATTAATTTTCTTTTAAAGTATAGTATTAAGTTGGGCATAATATTTCATTACATGAATATATTATTGTCTCCTTTACTCTAAAAATCTAAGGAAAAAATCTACTCATTTTATAACAAAAACAAATCAATATTTTCTCCATTTTCCCTAGAAATTGTAAACACACACACACACACACACATACACACAAAGATTTTAGAGCAGTTTGAAGTAGTGTAATATTATTCACATTAACCAAGTTTAGAAGAGACTCTAACTCACAGCAATATAATTAAACATTATCTCAAAAAGAATCCTGAAGACAAAACTTAAACATACCATGGGTAGGGTACCCCGGGGGCACTTGATGAATGCATCCTAGTGATGCTAATACTAAACGCTTAAATTACAACATTGATTTGTTTCCCTTTATTCTGAAGGTTATGATAAAGCAGTAAATGAGAACTAGCTAATTTGTGTCCTATTGGAAGTACTTTGATGTAATAACCCTTACATGTTTCCATTAACTTATTATATTAATTTAATTCTTTATTATAAATTCTATCAAGAAGAACAATTGAGCTACTATTTTCACTTTAATTTGTCAAAGAATAAAAATTCAGACTCTGATATTCACTTTTAAATGTCTCCTTGGAACAATGTACTATAATAGTATAAGGTCACACCATTACTTAAGTCTCATTTCACTTCCACTTCATCAAAAGTGAAAGATTCTATTCATCTGGTAGCATAAGAGCCTAATAAATGAATCCAGACTCCAAGTTACCAAGAGATTTATTCATTTACAAATCCTTAATAGATTATTCTGGAAATCAATTCGAACAAACTTTTCTGTTTTTATTGTATTGAATCAAAGAAAGTAAAGTTTTAAGGAAAACCAGCAAACATAAACCAAATTTCATTGATAAGCTCAACATATTAAGAGAAAATAAATTTTGAAATGATAATATCTAGCATCAGTCAAACTTTACTTTTCACTACAGTTTACATACAAATGGAAAAAAATTGCTTTCTTGGTCAATAAATCCAGTTATGCTAACATTAAAAGTATTTGAGTGTATATCCTCACCAAGCTTACTTGATCTCAAATAAGAAATAGAAATATGTGACCTCTAACTATGGAAAGAACAATAGACTTAAAAATCAGAAAAATGGTTTTTATACTATTTAACAGATTCTTAAAAGGAATTTCCAAAGGTGCATAAAAGTAAAATGTAAATGTGTAAAAATGACAAAAATTAAAATTATTCATATTCTTTTTCATGTATTAACACGATTTTTTTAAAAAAATGACAAATTAAAAAAAATATAATCATGGCATCTTAAAAATGTAACATTTTATGTGTACAACTTTTAATCCCTGCAAAGATAAAAGTTACATACAATATTCTCCATAGGACAGATGTACAAATTAACGTATTTAATTTTTGAGTTGTCCAAGTGATAGAAGCAGGTAAAAATAGTTGGGGTATGTATTTTTGTTTGTTTGTTTTGTAGTGCTGAGGATGAAGCCCAGAGCCTCATGGATTCTAGGCAACTGATCTACCACTTAAATACCAGTTTAGGTATTTAACTTACGGAACTAAATCTGAACTCTCTAGATATGTTTTATAGAGTCAAATATTTCCCTTTATTTTCTTTTTGTTTTTGTCATTTTCTGCTCAATGGTTATTTTCATATTATTATGAATTCTAGTTAACAAATCCCCATGGCGATCCACTAGTGTAGAAATTTAAAGTCGAACGGTTAGCCCTGAACTGTGAAGTCATGACATTCTTGGGCCTACAGGATTTTCCTACAGTTATAAATATGTTCCTAAATTGAGTTCCTGGTCATGTTCCAGGGAAAACAGGTCACCCATAAGATCCAGAGTAACTGACTTATTAATGGTTACACTCTGGAACCAATTCAGAAAATCCATACTACAGAGTTAGGGCAGAATTTTCCAGAGAAAACTCTAGAAATCCTTATAATAGAGTTATTACTTCACTTTTATGTTCCTAGAATTCTATTTTAGAATTTTCTTCTTCTTACTCTGTACCCCTTTCCTTAGGGACTCTATTTTACTCCAGAAGCTTTACTACCTATAT